AAGGAAAATCAAATCCAGAAAGGTTTGGAGGTTCTGGCAGGGTCACCACAAAAAGTGTGGTGTGTAGCAGGGTTGGTTCTCTGCTTGGGATCTCCACCATTGGCTGGAAACCACCATTTAATGAGATTTTAATTGCTTTTTGAGCAGGTTGACACTGCTCTGATCAGCCCTCATGTTTTGCTTTTGTGCCACGTGCTGATCCCCACCATTTCCCACCTGTGTGAGTGGGAGCTGCTCTGTTGTCCCGATCCTCAGAGGTTCTAAAGGGTGGTTTCTCACAGCTCACCCCAAAAAACTCCAGTTAGGTTGCCATGTACTGCCCTCTAATGCCATTTTAGCATATTAGCAGCCCTCACCCTCAGAGGAGATCTGTAACATAAAACAAATCATCAACATCCACCAAAAACTGCTATCAATGCTTTAGGGAAATGAGACATAAATGAGACATTTAATGGCTGCTTTTTCCCCCCTCAGCACTGCTTTATTTTACACATTCTTAAAGATCACCATCAGGGAGAAAAATGAGAACTCCCAATTTATTTACCTTTTCTGGACCATTTTGGGTGCTTGATGCTTCCAGAGTCCCCTTCAGCTGCCTCTTTTCACTCAACACATCTGATTTCTTTAGGTTTTTTATTGCACTGCTGCTTTTTGGAGAGGATGAGATACCCAGGAGTGCAGGTGGCCACTCAAACGTGCATGTGCACGTTGGATTTATGAGGGTACTTTCTCCTTTTTTAAGACTTTAATGCTTCCCAGCAGCCTGTTTGCTTTCCTGCTTCCTTCCTTCACTAAGTAGGCATTTCAGGAAAATTATCCCCAGTGAATGCAGCATCTCTTTTCTTAATGGAAGCAGCTGATTTAGAGCTGCTGCTGTGTGTGTTCTGTTAGTGCTATTTTGTCTTGTGTGCATTGCTTTGCATTCATTAACACTGGGTCCCATCTGCCATCTCATCACCCAGCCAGTGCCATGCCATCCTTCTGCAACTTCTTGCTTCCAACTTTTGGCTGATTACTCTGAAAAAAATGGGATTTGTAGCAGATTTCACCACCTTGGCTGTTCACCTTTTCCAGGTGGCCTGTTGGTACAATGAGGGGTTCCAAGCAAGGCTGGTGGCTCTTCTCACAGTGGGAAAATTGGTTTATTCACAGCTTTTTGGACCTCCCTGTAATTAATCTCATCTCCATAATCCTCCTCTCCTCTCCTCTCCTCTCCTCTCCTCTCCTCTCCTCTCCTCTCCTCTCCTCTCCTCTCCTCTCCTCTCCTCTCCTCTCCTCTCCTCTCCTCTCCTCTCCTCTCCTCTCCTCTCCTCTCCTCTCCTCTCCTCTCCTCTCCTCTCCTCTCCTCTCCTCTCCTCTCCTCTCCTCTCCTCTCCTCTCCTCTCCTCTCCATCAAACTCCTCTCAAAATGATGAGAAAATGGTGAAGCTGGGAGAAAAGAGCTGCAAGAAAACATAAAGGCAGAGATTAGAAAGGCAGGTAGAGAGGTAGAACTGGTGACACCAGAAATCATGAGTGGGATTCAAGAGGAAAAGCACCACCATGGAAAGGTTTGAAATATGAATGGAAAAAAAATAAAAATAGCAGGAAGATCAGACTTCAACATCTGTGAGGGTCTGTAGGAGGCAAAAAGCTGGCCAGTTCTCCCCAGCTTTGCAGAGGAAAAGCAGATTTCAGCCACAGCTAACCCACCTTCAAGATGTACAGTGCTGGGGATGAGCTCACATATTTCCCCTCTATTTCCAGTCTGTCTGGGACCTTTGCAGCAGGGTGAGGTTTCTTTATCTGCCTGCAGCCTCCCTGGATTTAATGAGAAGGATTTTCTTGGCTCCTCTGCTCCTAAGTGGGTGTGTACAAATACACTGTGGCTGTTATTACAGCAATGGATCAGTTTTGGACCGTGCCTACTGCACTTTCCAGGCTTAACCACGAGCTGCTCCTCCTTGGGAGTGATCTGATTTTCCTGGCTTTAATTGGTAGTTGTTTACAGGTCTGATCATTCAACCTTTACCCTCCCTGTTATGACTTGTTCTGAGGAGGAAATCTCCCATTGCTCTCGTGTTTTCCACCTTTGCAGACTCCAATCTCCTTTGAGTTTCTTTTGAGTGCCTGTCATGCTGTGATATTTCTCTGTGACATTTCAACCCACAGGGATTTCGCTCCCTACCTTCTAATGCAATTAATTATTTAATTCCTTCCCTTAACATAGGATACATAGTTCTTTTCTCAGTGGGATGCTTATGCTGTAAAAGTAGTGTCTTGCTGATATTTTTTTTTCTTCCACGAGGTTACAGATGTGGGAATTACATCAATCCTTCCTTTAAAAAATGCAGGCATTGCTAAGGCAAAAAACCATAGGAAGATGCTTAGGAGGTCCTCTAAAAATAAAGTGAAGATAATTTCTTCTTCTATTTAAGGAGCTTTCACTGTCATTATGAAAATAGACATATCTGTAAATGTGTTTAGAAAGACTGGGTTAATAGAAAGCAACGTAAGTAGGAGAGGAAGTAGTAGCTTTATTTTATTTATTTTTTCAGCTAACCACAGGGAAGTAAACTGCACAGTAGCACAGTCAGAGGCAATGCTGGAGATAAAGACTTTCTGATTAATACAGAGATAGTGCTTGTAAAATGTTGAGGTGCCAGATCTATCTGCTTCAGGGCTGGAGGTTGTGTTTGGCTTTGCAGACAGTCTTGCATGTTCATTTGCATCATGATGTGGTGCAAGGGGCCATAATTCTTAGAAAACTCAGCTCATCTATTCCATGTGCTTGGTATGAGCTGGAGATACACCAGCCCAGTGTAAGTAAAAAAGAAAATCCATTTTTACCTCTGTCAAAAAGAAGATATTAAATAATTAGTGCAAGATATTGGGCTGGAGAATTGGTATGGTTGGGTGAATTCCAGGCTCAGACAGATGCAGAATTTTAAGGTTTGCTTTAGAAAACAAAAATTGTCTCTGCAGACCGAACAAGTCCACTTCAGGCCCAAATGACATAGTGCAGCAAGACCTTCTAATAGCCAAATATTTTGCATTAACAATTACCCAGCGACCTCAGTGATGGCAGTGATGGCACAGTAAAATGGCAGCAAACATGCTGGGATAACAGACAGAGTTATTTGAAATACACTTGATGAGGAATAAGTTTTCTGGTTTTGTAACTTTCTCAGTGTAACTGAGAACAACTCAGTGTTGCCAGACTCGGAAGAGTCTCATATCACTGTCTCTGTTTCCCCCCACCAAAATCTCAGGTGCCCTTGGTAAGTAACTGGAAATATTGAATGGCTGTGGAGACAGGTTCCTCACTGAATAAACTACCACAGATGTGGAAACCCAAGGCACTGGGAATATTTCTCTGTCTGCTTTGGTGTCCCCTGACCCAGGGCAGCACTGACTTTGACCCTCATTCATGGAGAAAGTTTCTCAGACTTCAAGATGGACTGGAATCCACAAAAGTGTGAAATAGATTATAGAGAGCAGTGCAGGTGTATCACTTGGTGAGAAATTTAGGTTTTGGGATTTTTAGTCTGTTGTGGATGGAAGCAAGATGGAGGGCACAGGGTGTCATCCTGGGTTTCTGCTTCATGCTTCTTCCTTCTTCTTCATGGGTTTGGGTGGCATTTTGTAATTGGGCAGAAAAGCCCCATTGCAGCTCTTTGGGATCAGTTATTGGGTTAAAAGGGAAAATAATCCAGGTGTCAGTTCTTAATTGGATAGTTTAGTCTTAAAAGCCCTTGTACCAAGAGATTGTTGGCCATTTTGTGCCTTCTAATGAAAAGCTGCTGAACTCACAGTAGTGAGACTGTTTTACTGATGTGAAAAACGCCACTTTTTTTTTTAATTTTAAAAGTTTAATATTAATAAAATGGTTATAAAAATAGTAATACAATTAGAGTAATAATAATTTGGACAATTTGAATTAGGACAATATGAGACAATAGAAACAAAGAATTACAGACGGTCCGGGTACCTTTATCTGGGCAGCATGAGCCTGAAAAAGGACCCACGTTAACAGAGGGTTAACCCTTAAAAACAAGAACCTGTTGCATATTCATACACCTCATCCATGATGCATAAATTCCATTCAAACACGGGATACTGTCTGATCATCATCAACATCTTCCTCCGAATTCTAACAGCGCCTTGGAGGCAGAAAGAAGTTCATTTCTTCTGATAAGAGGGCAATAAATTCTTTTTCTCTGAAAGATTCAGGTGTCCTGTGGCTGCTATTTCTCTGCAAGTCCTTTCTTTAAAAAAAGTATCCTACATAGCATAGTTTCTACTTTAACATTTTTTTAATAACCCAAAACTGTATTTACCACACTACTGAAGAGAATTAATACAGCATTACTTTCTAACCCACCACATATAATATTCATTTTAATACTTGCGAAAAGCCAATCATAAAATACATGCATTTTTCACACAGAACATCCAGAGCAAACAGTGCTGGGCATAAATCCAGCCCTGCCCTCGGCTCCGGTCACTGTCACCACAGAGACCAGCGCCTGCCCGCCTGCTCTCGGGAGGACGCTGAAGATTCCAGGGAGGTTGTTCACTGCTCCTAAACAACCCCAGTTCCTCTCCAAACCCTTCCCCATCCCCGTGGCCTCCTTCGGACGTGTTTAAGGGATTCTATGATTAAATAAAACCTCCGAGAGCGCAGATCACACCGAGGTGCACCGTGAGAACCCGAAGGAACCCAGGCTTATCCTCCGCGTGGGCAGCTGGGGCGTGGACAGCATTCCTCCCGCCTCCTGCACTCCCAGCCGCCCTCCCAGTCCCCGGGATTTGCCGTGCTGCCTTCCCATTCCCGGGATTTGCCGTGCTGCCTTCCCAGTCCCGGGATTTGCCGTGCCGCCTTCCCATTCCCGGGATTTGCCGTGCCGCCCTCCCATCCCCGCTGCTCCGTACTGGGACGGCCGTGAGGGGCGGCAATGGCGGCGCTGCCGTTCCCTCCTCCCGCCGCCGGGGGGCGCTGGCGCGGGGCGCAGTGCGCAGGCGCGACCCTTCCCGGCGTGCTCAGCGCCGGCTCATGGCGGCGGCGGCGCCGGGACGGGTGAGCGGCGGCTCCGGGCCCGGCCCGGCCGTGTGGGGAGGCGGCTCCGGGCGCTGCGGGGTGTGGGGAGTCAGGGCAGGGCAAGGCAGGGCAGGGCGGGTGTGTGTGCCAGCGGCTCCTCGGAGGGGTCCAGGCCTGTGCGAAAGGTGGGGGGGGGCGTCAGGGCCTGCTTTGCCCCCTCTGTTCTCAGAGTGACGGAGGTCGCAGCGCGCCCTTCCTTTTACCGTGGGGGCAGCTCCTGTGGCTCGCAGCCTTGAACCTTCCCCGCGGTGACAGTGCCATCCCTGTGAAACAGAGTAGAAATTCTTTAAAGTGGAAATCTATTTTGATTTAGGTGAAATGTACATCTTTGAGTCTGTAGTTAGAAAACATAGCTATGTAGCCTGACTGCAAAGCCTAAGCTCAGAAAAACTACTTCAGTGAAAGACAGAGATAAGGAGGGGGGGAGACAGAAAGTGATAAAGAGAAACGGAGAGACTGCTGAGAGCAAGTCAACCTGACCTAAGAATTCTTTCTGATAAAGAAGAACTAGCGGCAAATGTCACGCGAAATTCATAAAAATGAATATGTATGAAACTACTCTGAAATTGTATGGATATGTATTTGAGAGGGGGATAAAAAGAGACCTGAAGTTCCCAGAGGTACCCATGTCTTTTAAGGAGAGTAATCTCCACATGCGTCCAGCGCTGTAATAAACATACTGGCTTTACAACTTTCACAAAGTTGTAGAGTTTTTGATTATCTCTGCAAAACAGCTCCATCCATCCCTTCATCCATCCATCCATCCATCCATCCATCCATCCATCCATCCATCCATCCATCCCTCCCTCCATCCCTCCATCCGTTGTCCAGGGAAGGGTCTCGGGCACCGCTCTGAGGAGGAGTGGCTGGAGGGGCTCAGCCTGGATAAGAGGAGGCTCAGGGGGGAATTTCTTGCTCTCCACAAGTCCCTGACAGGAGGGGACAGTCCGAGGGGGGGGTCAGGCTCTGCTCACAGGTAACAAGCGACAGGGCAAGAGGAAATGGCATCAAGCTGTGCCAGGGGAGGTTCAGGTTGGACGTCAGGAAGAATTTCTTATCAGAAAGCGTGGTTAAGGTTTGGAACAGACTGCTCAGGGAGGTGGTGAAGTCCTCATCCCTGGAAGTGTCCAAGTTGAAAATGGATGTGGCACTGAGTTCTCTGGTCTGGGTCTCCAGACCCATTTGGACTCGATGATGTCAGAGATCTTTTCCACCTTGATTGATTCTGTGATTCCCCAGTGCAGGCTGTCTCCCCCTGGATAGATCAGTCCTGCTACCAAAATCCCACTGCTCTGTGGCAGGTGGGAATTCCTACAACATCCTGTCCTCATCTGAGCATCTGTGCCTTTATAACCACCTCTGTGTTCATCCCAAGGCCAGATAATCTTCAAAACCTTTTCTTTTTGCAGTAAACATCTTGCTGTTGAGCCCTAATTGTTCATATTCCACTGCAGGATTAAATTAATTCTTGAGCAGTTCTCATCAACTTTCAAACTGTTACATTTATACAGCTTTCCTCTAGTTTTATATATTTACCACTAGCCAGGGAAAGATCAATTTTCTCTGTCTGTAAGAAAAGTGAAATAAAAGGAGGTGTACCCATATATGCAAAGTATTAGCAAATAACCTAGAAATAGGTTTGTGGTGTCATTTAGAGTTTTTTTTTTCCTTTTGTCTTTCAGTTTTAAATTGAAGAGAAAATGTCACTTTACGATGACTTGGGGGTTGAGACCAGCGATTCCAAAACTGAAGGCTGGTCCAAGAATTTCAAACTGCTGCAGTCTCAGCTGCAGGTGAAGAAAGCAGCTCTCACACAAGCAAAGGTACAGTCCCTTCCTGTTTTTCAGACTTCTTTCATGTTCAGTGCATTGTGTTTGTCACCTCAGAATATTGATATGATAATGAGGTAATTTTGCTGGCATTTGTCTGTGAGTTTGTACCAAAGGGCCTGGCAAAGCTGAAGGGGAAAAAGGGAAAATTCATTTTTCTTAGAGAGAGCGTTGCAAAATTAAAACTGAGGGAAGCACTGATGTATGTGCTGCAAACCCCTGAACTTTTTAACTGCAGAGCCAAAAGCTGATATTCAAGTTTAGCTTTAAAGATAATGAGATTCAGCTTTATAAAATTATTTTTTAATGTAAGTAGGGGTCACACTGTGATTAATTATTTACATGTTTACATCATTTGATGGTTGTTATTTAAAGGCTGTTGGTGCTAACTTGCAAATCATTATGTATTAGAAATTTTACAGCAAGTATTTCCAGAGTAGATGAAAAGGAGGAGTGCCAGCTGATTCTTATTAGACTGTGACAGGGCCATTTTCTCTTTTTATTGCTGCTTCTTTATATTTCACCCTTTTTCTTTGAGCAGTGTTGATATTTTGGTTCAGGCAGGACACAGGTGCTCTTTGGGCTGTGTAGGTTCTGTTGTGAAATTACTTAATTAAAAGAAGAAGCAGTAGCACTGATGCCAGATACTCAAATAACCACAGCAGTTTTTTCACTGAAATTACTCCTGATTTATGCTGCTGAAATTGGGGGCAGGATTTAATTGATAATTGGAACAAACTGCATGGATTAAATTTACTGACTGCTGTATTTGTTATATTCTTTGTCCATGTGACTGATGTGCAGTGTATCCATAGCCCAGCAGAAGAATAGGGTAGGATTAGAAAACTCAAGAGTTCAGAAGAGTTTAAAATATTTTATCTCATGATAAATTGGAAGAACAGTAACTCTTTGGAATAAATCTGAGCTTCTTAGAAACTAACCTAGTTCAAACTCACCTGAAGTGATAGGATGAATTTTTAATGAGTGTTTCTGCTCCCAGTCAAAACCTAGGACCATTCACCTACCACAGCAAAGTATGTCAAATAAGCTGATTTTGGGAAAACTGCTTGATCTTTTTTAGACATTGTGTGTTTTGGTGGTTTTTGCAGAGTCAGAGAACAAAACAAACCACAGTCCTTGCTCCAGTGATTGACCTGAAACGAGGCAGCTCCTCTGATGAGAGACAGATCGTGGACACACCCCCTCATGTAGCAGCTGGGCTCAAGGTAAGCCCAGGGCAGCTGAAAGTTCAAATGTTTTGGAAGTTGAATCTTTCCTAGTGGTCAAAAACCTGATTATTTTCTGGGAATATCTTCCTCTGCTGAGAGTTCATTAATTAACCTTTCAACTTTATTCAGACTTAGGTGTGGTACAGCATGGAATTACCATGGTTAATGTGCAGTTATAAAACAGTGTTCTTAGAATCCTGGACATCTTAGAATCCTAGAATCCTTCAAATTACTTGGCAAGACAGCAATTTGGGCAGCTAAATAATGACTGTAATTGTGTTGGCACCAGTGTTGGAACTGGACCTGTATAACAATCAACTGAAAAATAAAAGAACTAAAGCCACTTAACCTTTTAAATTAATTTCTCGTGGTAAGCAGTCAAGAGAAACTTCTCTCCCTGCAGCTTTTTCAAAGGAAAAGTTCTGAAATGGTTCTTTCAGATTAAAGAACAGTCTGTGTGCCTCTGTTGGTATTATATTAATAGCAGCTGATAAAAGCCCTGATGAGATTGTGTGGGAGGACCCTGGCAGATGGTTGCAGCAGCAAGATGTAATAAAGCTTCTAATAGTGCATTAGTGGGGTTTGAAAAATTCCTGTCCATGCTGATTTGCTGCTGCTTTGCATTTTGCAAGGGGAGAGGGTGGTTTTTCTTCATGGGAAAAATTTCATGTAATGAGAGACTGGATGAAATGTTAGGTTTAAATAAAGCCAAGATTTCTTCCAGCACCAGTGAGATTAGGATATTACCTCACATTACAGAAGGAATCAGAAGTGTTAAAAATTTTTCTTCTCCAACTGGGTGTTGTTTTCAGATCTCAGCTAAAAAAAAAATTCACTTTTTTCCAGGATCCTGTCCCTAGTGGTTTTTCTGCAGGAGATGTGTTGATTCCCCTGGCAGATGAGTATGATCCCATGTTCCCAAATGACTACGAAAAGGTGGTGAAACGTCAGAGGGAGGAACGGCAGCGGCAGCGGGAGCTGGAGAGGCAGAAGGAGATTGAAGAGAGAGAAAAGTAAGGCTTTTGTTTAGAGGCTTGCCACATTGACTCTTACCTAAATAACCATGTCAATTTGTTTAATTTTATCTCTCTACATTCTTGGAAGTTCTTAGAGGGTTTGTGAATACTGCGTGCTTGTGGAAACAAGAGCAGTGTTTTAATTAATATGTTTTAATGCTCTTGGGAAAAATCACCAAACAGTGCAAAAATGATAAGAATTATCAACTTTGCAGCCTCTTTGGGTGAAAGACCCTTGTCAAAATGATTCTAAATTTACTTTGTTTCAATAATAGGAGCAATATTTGGGTATATCATGCATCGTTAGCAGACTTTAACCTTGCAGGTCAAAGAGTTTTAGAGTATTTGATGTCATTGTCACCTGACTACAGAAAAACTTTTTCAATATTTGGTGATGAACCATCCTTTCTGCTTCTAAAAACTACAAACTGATCCATGGATGCATTCAGTTTTAAATGTAGCTAGTACAGCCTTTGAGAGGCATAATTGCATTTCCTTTTTTAATACTCTGCAATCAGTAATTTAATTATTAAGTAAGTTAATGATGTGTTTATTAATCTATTGTCTCTGGACAAAAGAAAATACTGCTTTATTTTTAATGCCTATTCCCTGAAATAAGAGATCTCTGTAATCATGGTAAGGAAGTTGAATGCAGATTCAGTATCTGATTGTTATAAGTGGTAAAATGTCTGCCAGCCAAGCAGAAGATTACATTTGCTCATTTCAAGTGAAGTGAATAAACAGTCCTCATCACAGTATGAATCATCTGGAATTACAGTTCTGCTGCCCTGTTTAGATTGTGGAAATTTATATCTCTAGTCACTGGGTCTTCTCTGTCTTCTCTTGGTTATATCTTTGTTGTTTTGATGGAGAAGGAGTGCCTGAGGCTCTGTCCTGCTGGCATGCAAGACCTCAGGAATCTGGGTTGTCATTCCCACAGCTTCAGTTGTATTTGACTGCTCTTTAGTTGTATTTGACTTGTGTGTGGGCCAAGAGTCTTTATACATATAAACATTAGAGAAAATAAGTGAAAAATGCATAAAAAAAACCCGATTTTAAGCTGGGGAAACAATCTCAGCCAAACCTTCATCAGATGTGTTCTTTGGAATTCAGGCTGGACATTTGTTTTGATTTCATAGGATAGAGATTCAGAAATTCTGTATGGTTCCACAGTAGATCTGTTTTTGTCATCCTTTAGCACAGTTTTTGTGGCTGTGCTAGGAATGGGATTTGGTTTGTGCACTAGGTGGTGCACTTGACTTTTGAGGAAAAGTGCTTTTCCTTTTTGTTGTATTAAAATGAGTAATTTTCCTGATCACATCAGAGAACAGCTGAAGTGCAAACAAATCTTGAAGCATTCCTTACTTCTTATTAGAAATTATTCCTGAATCTTATTTTAATTGCCAAGCAAGTGTCTCAACAATCTGATGTTTAAGCATGAGGATATTTTTTTATTCAGCAAATGATACTGCTCTGTGTAGTGTGTGATGGGAAATGTAAAAGGGATTCTGTCCAAAGCAGGGTGATTGATTAATTAATGTCTGTTACCTTGCTCTCTGTTCCATGCAACACCTATTTCATTCACTCACTCTGGTCTGTTTTGACAGGATTTATTCAGGATTTATTCAGGTGCTTCCTCCTTTCCATGCATTCTTCTTGGCTCACTTGCAAGTGAAAAATGATCTTGGTTTAGATCCATCTTCTGTTTAACCAAAAATGCCCCATGATGGTAAAAACAAAGAAACAAATGGTGAAGGTGTTAACTTGCACTTTCATGGGAAATGTGTTAAATGGCAGTTGGATGGAGCAGAATAATTCACCCTGCAGAGGTGGGATCACAAATTCAAAGCAAGAATTAACTTCCATGGTTTCTCATCCTAACTTGCTGTGTCTCCTAGAAGGCGTAAAGACAGACATGAAGCCAGTGGGTTTTCAAGACGACCAGACCCAGATTCTGATGAAGATGAAGATTATGAAAGGGAGAGACGGAAAAGAAGTAAGGGAACTGCTTATGGTTCTGGTGTGGAAAGAGGAGAAAAAGAGGGAGGGGAATTCCCAGTCCTATTTCATGGATTCTGTATTTCTCTGTCCTCACATGAGTACGCTGTTCATTCTGAGCCTTTAGAATAAATCTGGCATTTTATTACAACATATTATAATGTAGAATACTGGTATTTTTCCATGGAGGCAGGTGGCAGCCAAATTACTTGTGGGAATACCTCTGTTTAACCTTAGTTTGGGTACCTGTTGTAAGTTTCTGCATGGTGTAGGTTCCAGGGAAGGGATGAGGCATGACATAAAATCAGGCTCTGAGAATCACTGAGTTTTCACTATTGTAACTTTTCATTCCTGCATTTGTTCCATCAGTGCCCTTAGGGCTTGTCAGGTGATGTGGGTCAGAAATATGTCTTAGCATAAACAAAATCAGTCTTTATTCTCTTTCAGCAACAAAGTTACAGTAAATAATTCAAGTCTGTTGTGATATCCTCCAAATGTGTTGTGTTCCATTTTGCTCATAGGTATGGGAGGAGCTGCCATTGCACCACCCACTTCTCTTGTGGAGAAGGACAAAGAACGTGAGTACTCCAAAATCCTCTTCTCTGAACCCAGCAGTGTTCATTTCCTGCTCAACTTTCTATTTAGTTAAGCCCTCCTGCTTTTCCCATTGGATTCTTTGTAGCAGCAGGACATGAAGGAGTTTTTTGTTCATGTGGGTAGGCTGTGGGGGACCTGTGATGCTGCCCTACTTCACATCTCTGTTCTGAAGAAATCTTCATGTATTGCTGGACAAATGGCTTGGCAAACTGGGCTCCTACAACCATGTGCATCTACTCACTTCTGATGTGAAAAAATGTCACAGGCAGGGTTCTCTGGGTAGACTAGAAACCTCCACAGTCTGGAGAGGGAATTTTTCCATTGCTCTTTCCTTGAGGAGGTACTTAGTGAATATCTTTTCTACAAGAGTTATGCACTAGAGACAGAATTTTATCCATTTTTCAGGATGCAGTTCAGCTTGAAGAGATTTGTGTGCAGTGCTGGTGTGAGGATCTCAGTTGTCCACAAGATGGCATCATCCTGCTATAGGAACAAAACCATTCCCTTTTTTTTTTTCCCATGTCTAACCGTTGTAAATTTTAAAATTTAAAGCAATTACCAGTATGTTTCTACTTTAAAAAATACAAAGAAGAAAAAATCTTACGCACACAAAATTTTCTTTGGGAGTCTTCCTTGGATTTATGACAAGATTAAAATGTAGAAAGTATCTCAGAACTTAAGGGAATGATACAGTGAAAGCATTTGATATGTTTAAACATTCAAAACAGAAAGACATTGTTTTGAGTAAATAATTAAGAGCAATTGATCAGTGTCAAGGAAAAGTAAATATAGGTTGGAAATAGTAGAAATACCCTTAGGGGAGAGTTTTTAAAATGTGACAAGGAAATCTTTGTATTGTTTCTTACTTGGTGCTCAAATCCAGGCTGGAAGAAAACAAGAAAATATTGGTGTAGCAAAAGTCCCATAGTCCAGTCCATCTGCTGTTTAACTAGGAATTACTTTTCCTCATATTATATCCTCAAAATTCATGTCTGACCTTTTATTTGATAAGATACAAGAGCTAGTGTACAAGATAATATTCTAAAATCAGGTCAGTCTGATAAAAGTCCATAAGTCCATTCAAAAATTTTTTTTCTAGTGTTCTAGTAGGCTTTTTTGATTTTCATTTTGCTATTTGACTTGTCAGTGGAAGCTGATTTAATAATCTAACCAGTGTAATTGAGATATCCAGATCCATCTCCATCACCAGGAATAGCTGCAGTTCACAAATTTCCAGTGAGATGAGTTGCATTCATTCTTTTTAATAGAACTAATTTCTCTGCAAATGTGCAGTGTATTTTTATTACAGTCCTTGGGCCTTGAGTTGTGTGCATTGATCCATTTTTGTCATAATTCTGTTCCTGATGAATGGGAGTTTGTCCTCTGGATAATCTCTTTGTAGTGCAGGTGGTCTCTTAATGTTCTTTTTCTCCATTTAATAAGAGGTTAATAAATGCATTCTAGAGCTGTGGAAATTACATCCAATGAGGAAAACCCAGAATAACTCAGATGTTGTTTCTGAGAGAGAGAGAGGGAGGTGAGAGAATGTCAAAACAGCGTGTGCAAAGGAAACATGCTTCTGATTTGGATTTATGTGTAAAACCTTCTCATAGTCTGTTAGGATTTTACTGAAAAAATCTCAAATATGTCTGTTTTCTCCAGCTGTAGCATCATTCCCATATGAGGAAGAGTCAAGACCTCGAGCACCTTCTTCCAAAGCAGCAATTCCTCCCCCAGTGTATGATGAGCCAGAGAGACCTCGTTCCCCCACAGGACCCAGCAACTCCTTCCTTGCCAACATGGGGTAAATCAATGAGTGACCCCTGCACATTTTGTGGGAAAAGGCATTGGAAGGTGGTGGAAACCAAAAGCTTGAAATAGTTTGTCAGGAGAGAAGAGCAGTCTGAGTTCAGAGAGTCCAAACTGGCAGGATACAGGAAAAAATGTGGATTGACAGGATTGGGAAAAACACACCTGAGGTGGTTGCATTCAAGGCTGTGCTTTTAAGCCACACTCCAGCATAAAGTGTTTATGGCAATGAAGTGTACTTGAAAACACAGGTGGCATGTTAGTTCTTCTAGATTTTTTTTCCAGGTTTGTCTTAAATTTGCTACATACCAGCAAATTGATATTTCAAATCATTTCAGCTCTGCTTTGTTGAAAAATTCAGAGTGTATTTTGCATGAATGTAGCAGCTGTGGCTGCAAATCTGCCCATTTACTTTCCTGCCTTGTGTGTGATCTTGTGTTAACAACTGTGGCAACAAATTAAGGTGAATTTATAGCTAAAAACAGCTTAGAGACCTAATTTTTGGGTTTGTTGGGTTTTTTTTTTAATTGTCCAGGAAAAGATAACCAAACTTGCTACTGTTGGACCAGCTTGTGTATTTTTACCACCTTTAATTAGTAGTACTATGGAACCCTGACTTCATTGAAGGAAGGGCTAAAAATCTGACCTAACCTGCCTTACTGACCACACAATTGACTGTTTCTTCTGTGACTTAGTGTTTTAATCTTTCAGCATTACATAGCCAGACTTTTTAGCCTTTTACTTAGAAAAAAAATTATGTAACTTGTAGAAGCTCCTGTACTTTCTGCCCCTGTGTAAGGAAGTTTTAGGAGGCAGGATATTTGAGCACTCAGGAGAAATGCAGTTTTCATGTTTTATGGAAGAAACCTTTATGAACTGATTTTTTTTTTTCTCATTGCAGGGGGACAGTAGCTCACAAAATCATGCAGAAGTATGGATTCAGAGAGGGCCAGGGGCTGGGCAAACATGAACAGGGGCTCAGCACAGCACTGTCAGTAGAGAAAACAAGCAAGAGGGGTGGCAAGATCATTGTTGGTGAATCTACAGAGAAAGGTAATTATGTCCTGCACCAAGTGTGTGAGAGATGAAGCTCCTGGGTTTCTGTTTGCCATCTGTCCTTGTTGAAAACATTGGAGTTGGAAAAATGACTCATATTTGTTCTTGAGGAAATTTATATATTTTTCTCTTTTTGTAAAATAATCCTGTATGCACTATTTTAGCTCATCCTGCCATGTAGCGTTGGGGAAGCATCTTCACTTCCAGGGCTGATCTTGCTCTGCCCTGATGTTTTTTTCCCTGTCACATCCTGTTGATACTGCTCTCATTTCCCTGCTCCTGTCTGATCTTGAGACAACATCCAGGCTTCTGAACACAAGTGGCAGAAGTCAGAATACTTTGAGTCTTGTAGTTCTTATAATACAGTTCTGAGCTTAGGAATTATTTCCCTCTAAGAAGTAGTACATTGTCAGTGTTACTGCTTAATTCACACCACTGGAACTGATTTTTCTGCTTACTGTCATTCCAGGGAGCTACAAGTTGTGAATAACTGTTCCTCACCAATATGAAAGTACATTTTGTAGCTTTTATTCCATTTGATCAATAAGATTCTGATAAAAGTCCCTAATTGAGCTTTAATCTTAAATTATACCATTATTCACTGTTTTGTCTTCAAACAGAAACGGGCAAGAAGGCAGATTCCAACCCCTTAACTGAGATCCTGAAATGCCCAACTAAAGTGGTCTTACTGAGGGTGAGTTGGGAGTAAGGGAATGTGTCTTGGTGTTGAAATGTTTAAACTTCTGTTCCTGATACAAAATTCTGCACAGTTCAAATGGTTCTGGCCTGCACCCATGGTGTTCTGGAGAAATTATGTGACTTCCTGGGGTACAAGCTGTGATTTTAAATCAACACTGCTTTAAATTGTGCAGTTCCCTTGCCTTAGGGACAGGGAACTGTCTCCTCCTGTCCTCCCGTAGCTCTTAAACTTTTAAAGTATTTGTGGTCACAGCTCACAGAGCATCTGTGATTTGTCTACACAATCACCTGACAGACTCCATCCAGTGAGTTGGGTTTGTTCTTTGACTTTCAGAACATGGTTGGTGCTGGGGAGGTGGATGAAGACCTTGAAGTTGAAACTAAGGAGGAATGTGAGAAGTATGGCAAGGTTGGGAAATGTGTCATCTTTGAGGTAAGAGATAATCTGTCTCTCTTTTTGGCTTCTCTGGGCACTCATCCCTCACAACTGGAGTGTTACTGCTTAAGAGGGGCATACATAGAAGATCCCTCAGGGTCCTTTACTGTGTTGCAATTCTGGATTTTCTGTATCTGTAAGATACAAGCTTCTAACAATAGCAACTGTGTAAAAAACACTTGAGTATTGTGTTTTTGGAACCTTTTTATTTTGTTCTTTCACTGCCTTTGTGAAGAACAGCAATTGAAAACAATGTTCTCACTGCTGTTTTAATTACTTGTGGTTTGGGGTTTTTATTTTGTTTCAGATCCCTGGTGCCCCTGATGATGAAGCTGTAAGAATATTTCTAGAGTTTGAACGGGTTGAATCTGCCATCAAAGGTAGGATCCTAAATTGTGTCCTATGCAGCTCAGAGCTAGCTTCTGTAGAGAGATTAAACAGTCTCACTGGTCAGGCTGTTTAGTTAAAGAGATGTTTATTTTATTGAATTGCTGCTTGCTGATCTGCTCTTTGTTTCAATTCCAGCTGTTGTGGATCTAAATGGAAGATATTTTGGAGGCAGAGTGGTGAAGGCTTGTTTCTACAACCTGGACAAGTTCAGAGTGCTGGATCTGGCGGAGCAAGTTTGATTTTAAAAATCTAGCTCGAGGTGTCATTGTTTTGGCAATCAGGTTTTCAGCAGTAGGCTGGGAATTCAGAAGAGAAAAGTAGCTTTCCTAGCAGACTGGAAACAGGCCTCATTGAATGGATTTTACACATTCGTTGTGACTTATGGTTTTTTGTAATATAAAGCCCTTTGAAAGTAAGATTCACGTCTGTGTAGTTTTGAATTGCACATTTCTGCTTTCTGCTCTGGGGATCCTGGTTATTTTTTGAGCTTTCAGATGACTTTGCTCTGTTGAAAACCCACTGCTGAGGAGATGCTTTGTCTGTATTCCTGCTTTCTTTGTTCTGGTGCTTCATCATGGAGTCCCTGTGCTGGATCCACAATAAGTGTGAAGCTTTGGACAAGGACTGTGTGCTGTGATCTGCTCTTCCCTGATGGTTTCTCCTAGAGTTAGAGCCTTGCTCTCCTGAGTCCTCATCTCTGCACACCAGTGATTTGGGTCATTGGACAGTTGCAGCTGGTTTGTTCTGACTCCAGGACAAAGCTTCTGTGCCAGAATGGAGACTGAAATAACAAGGACTGAGTCTGTCTTCATAGAGCAAAAGAAAATCTATCTGTAATCCAGGGAAATGGAGAAAAGAGGGAATTTAATGGACTCTTAGCAGGAGCTCTGTGCTGGGAATATCCAGGGATAACTGATTGCAGGTCATTAGCAGGGAGAAGGGAAACTCCTTCCTGTATCTGGCCAGCTGTCAGAATCTCACTTCTCTAACTCACACATAGACAACTAACTTTGTTTAACCATTTGCTCTTTCTGTTTATATTTCTATATTTGAGGTCAAATACCATCAGAGTTAGGCTTTCTTTTGGGAAGGAGTGCTTGTGGAAGTTTTCAAAATAGGAGGCCATGGAGGGAAGTTCTCATGAAAATCTGAAGAGTTGACAAACCAAACTACTAAGCACTACTACTTTTAGTTTTAACTTGATGTAAAATAGTACACAGCTCTCTGCTCCTGGTTTTATGTTTGCTTTTTGTTTGGGAACAGTGTGTGACAAAGAGTTGCCAAGAGGGGACTCTGCAATGGTGGCACTTGTCCCTGTGCCCCATTGCACCCAGAATTGTGGAGATACTGAGCCCTGAGGGCATTTTAGCTGTTTGAAAGCTGATGCTGGATGTCTTTTTCCTGTTACACACATGGACTGGGGGGAGGGGGGACAGACCTGTAGCTCAATGCTGTGAATATCTCCAGTTCTTGCCCTTTTGAGTTTTGGCTGCAGATTTCTATGACAAACCCTTGGGTCTTGTGTTTTGCTTATTTTGTCTGCTTGTGTTCCACCAACCTCTGTACAAACATTTGCTTGTAAAACACAATTTTTTAAAAAACCTGGTATTTTACCTGCTGTGCATTGGCTTCCTTACTGTGCTCTTGTCTTGTGCAGGGCAGTCCCTCAGAGTTGGGCATTTTCTCTGATCCACCCTCCCTGCAGCAGAGGTGAGGAACTGCCATGACACCAAAACCACAGGACTTGGGGCAAAAACAGAATCTAGATTCTGTTCCTGCCTCTGCTCTTTGTTTTCTCTTTGACTTTGAGCAACACTTTAAGGCCTTTGCTGCTGTGTAGTAAAACAGATTAGCCTGGTATGAATTAGCATAGGTTTGCTTGTAGTACTCAAATAATTTGGGTGGCTGCTGTAGAAAGTTTAACCACTGGTAGCAGATTGAGTGTGATCTGAACTTAGCTTGAAGTATGACTTGGCTTTAAGCAATGTGATATATTTATGGCTCTTATTTCTGCAAATGCCTCTTGGGTGACTAGGCAGTAAGTATTTCCTGAGGTACACAGCCTGGTTTGTGTGCCTTTAACCAGCTGTTCTCCTTTTTAGCACCACCTTCTCAGCTTCCAGTCTGATAACTTGAAGGTTTTCCATTTGCTGAGAATGGCTTTACTGGCAACTTTTGAACCATTTCATTCTGAGAATCCTTACTGTGGTTGAAGACAGGAGGAAAGTTTATCCATGAAGATGTAAGGGAGAGGGTTTGTTCATTTAGTATTTTGTGTAGGAGATTCATGCTATGAATGAGATGTTTTTTATAGGGACACTGAAGCAAGCAAACCTGGAGCAGATTTACATCCCCTGAATTCCATCTGACTGGTGGAGGCTGCACAAACATGTGACAGTGGAGCCAGGTGTGTAAGCAGGTGATGCAAGCAAACCTGCACAGCTCTGGAAACCTGCAAAGGTTCAGACACTCACTGAGCTCTGTGGGCAGATTTTGTCTCCTTAGCAGGAAGCATTTTTTGCAAATGCAACTTCTCCCTGTTTTTAAACACAGTGTGTTGGCTCAGACTTCCTCAGGCATGCATACCTTGAAATACTTGGTTCTGAATTTACTTCTCTGCTGGAGAATTGGCCTCCTCTGGAATCTTGCCACTGACTTCTATTTCTAGTAGCTTCTCAAGTAACTTTTTATCTAACACCTCCAGCTTTTCCTGCTTACACATCCAGTTTTCTCCTCTGTTTCATCAGTGAGTGCCCTTTCCAAAGGCTCAGCAGCACTTAATTTGGAGCTCTTTGCAGCTACCAAGTTTTATTTGGTGGTTTGTCTTTACACCCTGGATATTGTGCACCCACCTCATTCTGTCCTGTACCTTTGTGGTGACTGGTCTGAAGCAATAATAATATATTTGTTTCTCTTTTTGTGTGGTGCCCTATAAAGTTCTGATTTCACAGAAAGTGAAGAGGATGATGAGCTGTTAGGAACATTTACCTTGCTGGCAGTGCAGGATTGGTTATAGTGCTTCATGTGAAGCACTGGGTGTTTTTCAGGTATGATTTCCTAAATTTAAGCTTTAATTCCTTGGTTTAAGCACCTGTGTAAATGCTGTGATTCTCTAATACATTGGATAACTGCATCTCCTCTTGGGCTAAGTATGATGAACAGTTCATTGCTTCTGGGAATTCAGATTAGATGCCTGCTTAGAGAGATCTGAGTGTCCTGAAGCCAGCAGGAGGCTGAGAGGGACGTGGAGGACGTGTCAGCCCAGAGCTCAATGAGGTACCTGGTGCATTAACAACCCTGAGGTCTTAAGAACAGGGATTTGCACAGTGGCATCACTGCCTTGTTCTCTTCTTAATTTAAAACACTGGCTACTATATTAATAGTGGGGATTTAGTGACTTGATTACCTTCCTAATTGTTAAAACCCCAAGGTGTTTTTGAGCTGTAGCAGCTATTTCAGAGCCCATCGTTAAGCACATGGGTTATGATTTATTTTCTCACCTGCACTGTTCTGCACTTAACCTGTGTTGAATTTCACTGTCAGTTTATCACTTTGCCTGGTCAGTAAAGTCACTAAAATCTGATGTGAGATGGAGCTTGCAGGGAACATTTTTAACATTACTATTGTCAAAATCTTAAGTTTGCTTTGCCACACTTACATGAAATGTGAGAGTTGTTGCCCCAAAGAACTTTCTGTCTAAATAGCCATGGAGGGAGAGAGGCAGGAACAAGAAATATCTTGCCCAAGGACATGCAGAAGGTGGTTTGGAGAGTTGGGATTACACCCTATTCCCCTGTATTTACAACTCTGCAACCAAAACCCACGTTCCTGGTGGAGCTGCTTTTTATTGTGGCAACAGAAAAGGGTAGAATCTCTTAGCCTTGAGCTTTGGATTCTGAAGCAAGTTCAGAAGGAGATGTAATTCATGTGCTGCAGTCTGTGTAAGTGGTTGCCTTAGGAGAGGCTCCTGTAGGAGATTTGAGTATGTCAAGGTATTCTACCCTTCTGTGCTAGAGAAAAGATGTGTTGTAACATCATACAGTTCTCTTAAAGACAGAAAGACAAATATGGGAGGTTTCAAAGAGGATCCTAAACTCTCAGATCCTTCTTGCTCCACAAGCAGAAGTCTAATGGGGGAGTGAGAACTTTCAGTCCTCACAGCACTTGGTGCAAGAGGCCTTGAGCAAGACTAATTTTCACCTTGTGTTACAGTGAATTAATCCCATGTTCCTACCTGGGATTTCTTCTCCTTAGCTACAGGACTTGGCACTTCTCATGGAGCTCCATGATGTTCCTGCCAGCCTCTTCCCAGCCTGCCCAGGTCCCTCTGGGTGGCAGCATGGCCTTCTGAGGGAGCTGCCACTGCTCCCAGTCCATGTGATCTGCAAATTTGCTTTAATGAAGGTGTTAAAGAGGGCTGGACCAGCATTGACCCCTGGAGTTCACCAACAGCTCCTGACCTCCAGCCAGACCCTGAGCCACTGATCATTCAGGCAGCTTTTGGTGTCTGCTCCTGCAGCTTCAAGAGCTTCTTTGTTAGGAGGATCTCACAGGTGACAATGTTTGGAACTCCTGCAGAGGTCCAGGTAGACAATACCCACAGCTCTCCCCTGCCAGGCCAGTCTTTGATTGTGGAAGGTTCAGCTGGGCAAGCATGACTTCCCCTCAGTGAATCCAAGCTGACTGTTGTTGATTTTCTTGTCCTTCATAAACACACTGTTAGATTAGCTACTCCCAGAATTGTAGAAATTATTTTAAATTCTCAAAACATTGGAAGAGAGCAAGAACATCCACACAGCTGAGGTCCATGTATGGATGCATCTGGCATTGGTAACATGCTCCTAGTTGGGTGCAAGACTAACCCTATTCCTGTTCCCAAAAAAGCAGGAGCTGCTTGTGGTCATGGAGGACTTGGTGTCACTTACAGGCACTTTGTGTGTTCTTAGGGGGATTCCTGCCTTTAGGTGATGAGTTATCCTTAAAGAGGGATTGATTGTGTCTAGCAGTGTGTGCTCTGTTCATTTGCTGCTGCTGAGCAATGAGAGGACTCAGCCAGGAGATTTGGATTCCTGCTGTGCTGCTCTGGGCAGATGCAGGTTCTTCATAGATGGGTTTGAAAGTAGCACCTGGGCTTGGGAATTTTCTTGGTGTGTCCTGTAGACAGGACTTTTGATAAAAGACTTCCCTCTTGCCCTGTGATGCTGTGATTTTATTCAAGCTGCAGAGCAGTTAAAGAGCCATCCCAGTGCCTTTCTCATCCATCAGTTTGGTTTATCCTCACACATCACCACTGGCTTCTGGTTGTGGCTGTAGAAGGTACTTCTGAAGTCCAGCTGGAGATGATCAGGCAGCTCCTGGCAGTGCATGTGGCACTTGACTTTATGTTTAATATGTGAACACAGCTTTTTCTTACCTG